ACATGTGGCTAAGTGGCCACTGTATTGGCAAGTGCAGGTAGAGAACATTTCCATCTCTATAGAAAGTTCAACTGGATAAGGCAGCTCTAGACTGACTAATCATGGAGAAACAGAACCATCGGGCCTCCTCCCAAGGCTCCTGGCTTTGGAGTCTGAAGCAAGAGTGAGAGGCAAGCCCCAGGGAAGGGGGTGTCAGAGGCTGAGCTGGGCACAACCACCAGCACACACCCACCCACGTTCTGGTACTGGGACACCCACACCTGGATACTGAAACACCACCCATCCAAATAGCTCTGCACCCAACTCCAGGAATTTGGCACTTGGATATCCAGACACCCTAGTATCAGGTTCCCTAGGGAACAAAGCAGCTGGTCCCCTCCCCTACTCCAGACTCAGATCCTGCCACACCAAGGTAACCAGATGGCTAGACACCCTGACAGCCACACATTGTGCCCTGTGCCCCCAGCTACAAACACACACACACACACATTCCTTTCTGACTGCCCAGATGCCAGGGTCACATCTGCATACACCTTAGCAGCCTCCCCAACTCCACCTGCAAGGGTCACCACAGGAAGCAGCTCTCCCTCCTTCCCTCCAGCACACAAGCAGCCAGGACAGAGGCTGTGGCCCCATCTGCCCACCCCAGGATCTGGGGTTGAAGTCTGAAGCAGGGTCTGCCGGGAAGCATCCCTCCCCCACTAATGCAGGGCCCCCCCTCCCCCCTCCTCCCCCGACACTCAGACTGACCGTTGGGACTCAATGCCTCACCAACTGCCAGGCCTAGTCACAAAGGGCTGAGAGTAGGGGCTGGACAGGCCCTGCCAGCTGCTGGGGGTGGGGCCAGAGGGCAGAGGGAAGCAGTTTGGGAGCCTGGGAGGAGGGGCTGGCAGGCAGGAGATTTGCTCCCTCCCCTCGGTTTCTGGCAGGAACTTAATCTCACCAACTCAGAGCTCCCAGATGACACTCTCTACATGGCCTTTTCACAACTTAACACCATCCCCCAGTAGAACTTTCCAGATTCCTGGAGAGAAAACCTATCTTTAATCTCTACCTTCAGTGGTGTCAGTGCACCCCCATCTGGCCTCCTAGCTCTGAACTTGACCTACTCAACTTCACTCATTCTTTCATGCCACATATAGTTAGTCAGATCCAGTGGGCCAGGCCTTGTGCCCCTGGCACTAAGGATTCAGAAGTGAACTAAATACCCAGTCCCTATCCTCACAGAGCTCATGGTCTGATAAGGGAAACAGGACCAATAAATTGTAACTACAATAATGACAATGCTATGTAAAAATCCAATCAACCCCCACACCCCTCCCTTCCCAGGCTAAGACAGGGCATAACCAAGGAAGGCTTCAGGGAGAAGGTGACATCTAAGCTGAGAGCTGAACAAGTTGCAGGAGTACACCTGGGAAGAGGTAAAGTTAGAGAGTTCTGGGCATCAATCACAGCTTGTGCAAAGGCCCAGATAGAAGATGGTGGAAATGGGCATTTAGAGGGCTACTGGTAAGTGGGTCAGGCTGGCCAGATCATAGGATGCAAGGGGCAAGTGACAGAAAATGAGATGGGGCTGGACAGGCAGGTGGGGACTGGAGCAAGCAACTGGGCCAAAGGGGAAGGACTGAACCCTGAAGGCAATGGGAAACCTTCAATGGGTTTAAAACATGCTTTTTAGGAAGATCCGTGGCACCAAGGAGGGAGGGATGGAGGGAAGAGACTGGAGCCTTCCTGCAGGTGAAAGATGGCTGAGGATGGAGAGAAGGGGATAGATGAGAGAGACTGAGACGGCATAAGGATAGGACACATCAGGATGCAGGGAGGGCGACATGATGGAGGAAGAGGGTAGAGGGAGGAAGGGGCACAAGGCACCCCCCGCAACTCTGGCTAACCCAGCCCTGCACGGAAAGGCCGCCCCACAAGCCCAGCTCAGCTGATGAAAGCATGCAAGGATGGTGCATGCCTCCAGCAAGCAGGGTGCCTGCCCTGGATTTTCCCTGACACCAGAGCAGGGTAGGAGGCTGTCCAGGAGCTCAGCACCCCCACCCTGGCCACTCTCTCCGCTTCCTGGCGAGTCCCCTCCCTCAGCCTGGGGGAAAAGGGCAGGCTGCCCAGACAAGCCTTTATTGCCCAACCTAAAACCACTGGGCAGCCTCTCCCTCATTCCTGCCGTCCACAGCTCCAGCGACCAGAAGGACAGAATGAGCTAAAACACAGCAGAAACAATTACTGCCAGGTTTGCTCAGCAGAGAAACATTACACACCGCCCTTACCCAGGAAACCCAGGAGGCATTCAGGGAGCTGGGCTGACTCTACCCAGATTGCGGGCAGGGGGATATCCCATCTCTTCTACTAAGGGCTTCTGAATTAAGCTCTAGTAGTAGCAGCTACAAGGATACCAGGAACTTTAGAAGTCAAGTGACTTGCTCAAGGTCACATGAACAGTAAGTGGCAGCGGCAGAATTTGAACTATGTCCCCCCTGTTTCAAATAACAGCCGCTGGGGCTTTGTATCAATGCTCAAACCCTGAGTTCCCTGGCACTTGCAGAGCCTTACTTTACAATCTATCAAGTACCATACAGCATTATTCTTATGACCATAAGACAGAGCCATCAAAAATGAGAATAACTTGCTCCAGGTCTCACTCCCAAACCTTAGATTGTCAAATCCCCTCTTTTGGCAGTAGGGACAGGTGAGTGTGCTCCAGGTGATGGTGGTAGGGGTGGGGTAGCATGCTGTACCCCAAGGGTTTGATTTCGGGGTGGGGGAGGGGGAAGGACACGGGGGAGGATCGGCAGGAAGGTCGCCTTGGCGTCTGTCCTCTCTGGCACCGCGAAGTCAAAGCTGAAGCTGTGCCCGATGGTCCCAGAGCTGCAGGGCGAGGTTCAAGCGTGGAGCCAGCGACCGGGGCAACTGCAGGAGCCCGGGTAGCTCCGACCCGAGACGCCCGAGTGGGCGGCGGCGCATCGAACTCGATCCTGGGGAGGACCGCTGTCTGGGGCTGGCGGCCAGGAGGAGTCTCTCCGGGCCAAGGCGGCTCTCGCACGTGTCTCGGCTCGGATCCCGCCCGGGGCGTTTCCCAGTTACTCGAGCCCGGGGTACCGGGCTGGGGGTGGAGGAAGTCCCCGGGAGGGTGGCGGCCACCTCCGTCCCAGGGGAGGCGTCGGGCGCAACTCCGCGCCGGGGGCCACGGTCTGGTTCCCAGGCCTCAGGGTGGGATGTGGGACACGCACACACAGACACATGCACACACAAACACAAACCCGACACACGGTCCACAGCACACACTCCGACGTGCACACGGACACGCAGATGCAGGCTCCGGATACACGCACTCAGATACGCGATCACACCCCCCCCAAAAGACACCAGATTCCGAAACACACCCAGAGGGCGCGATCACAAAGCAGACAGAAGCGCGGGGGCGCGGGGACACACGGACGGACACACATACACACAGACACACACACAGACGGCACAGACACACGGCACGGACACACACACACACACACGGCACTGACACAAACACACACAGAGAGAGACACACACAGACACACACTCACAGACACACACGGCACGGACACACACACACACACACGGCACTGACACAAACACACACAGAGAGAGACACACACAGACACACACGCACAGACACACACGGCACGGACACACACACACACACACGGCACTGACACAAACACACACAGAGAGAGACACACACAGACACACACGCACAGACACACACGGCACGGACACACACACACACACACGGCACTGACACAAACACACACAGAGAGAGACACACACAGACACACACGCACAGACACACACGGCACGGACACACACACACACACACGGCACTGACACAAACACACACAGAGAGAGACACACACAGACACACACGCACAGACACACACGGCACGGACACACACACACACACACGGCACTGACACAAACACACACAGAGAGAGACACACACAGACACACACGCACAGACACACACGGCACGGACACACACACACACACACACACACACACGCGGCGGTCCTGGCCGGCAAAGAGGCCGCACAAAGTTGCCGAGTCGACCGAGGGAGTGTCCCGAGAGACGGGAGGGGGCGCAGCTCCGCGGCCGCGAGCCAGGCCCTGCCCGCGCCCCGACGTCGCAGCCCCTCCCGGGCACAGCCGCGCCGGCCCCCGCACACACACGCGCACACACGCGCGCACACGTTCTGCCACCGCCCCCTCGGGCGGCCCCGGGCACGCACTCACCCACGGCCCGGGCGCGCACCACACTCGCAACATTCCTGGACGCGCAGCCAGCATGCACGGACACACTCACACTCACATCGCTCCAGACACGCTCCCACACACGCATTCCCGGCACACTTGGCCCTCGGACCCACGCAGTCCCCGGCGGCGCACACCACAAGCCCCAGACACTCCCCCACGTCCACATCGCGCACTCAGGGCGCGGACACACGCGTTCCGGACCGTTCCCACGACTTCACACACGCTCCCGGCCACACGCACAACACCAACACACAACCCATTCTCAGACACACAGCACACAGCGCTCCGGCTACGGCAAACCAGATGCACACAAACGCAACAAACACATTAGCAGATACAACTCCGGTCACACAACCAAACTCAGATGCACACACAACAGACACACCACCTCCTTGGCTGCACAAACACAACACCCTGGCAGACACACAAGACACTCAGCGCACACCCAATGCCTCGATGCACACGACATTCACCCCAACACACTCGCAGACACACAACGCACACAGCATCTTTTCTTGCACACAGAACTCACGGACACACAAGACTCGCAGGCTCACAGCACTCTGAGCACACGACCGTACATCCTGCGCTCAGACACGCCGGGGTGCACGCTCGTAACGCCCGATCACCCCACACTCACTTTCTTCCGAGCTACGCCACGGGCCCCGGGGCTCGGCGGGGCCAGCCCGGTCCGACCGCCGCGCGCTTACCTGCCGGAGTCTCGGTCTCGGGCGCGCAGAGCTGGAAGGTGAGCGCCAGAACGAGTGCCTGGGCGCGGGCCATGGTTGCTGCG